CCCAGCTGCAACAGGAACTGCACGGCCTCCTTGTTGCACTGGTTGGCTGCATGAAAAAGGCCTTGAGATGCAGGGGACGATTTGACCTGCGTCCAGCCCTGATTCGAACATCGAGCTTGCAATCAAGCAACAAGTCTGTCCGTAGATGTCTTGTTTGTCGATGTTCGCGCCGTACTCGATCAGCACCTCTGCGCGAAATTGGCCATGAACATCGTTGCCATGGAAATAACATTGAAAAGAACATATCTTACACTAAGTTGCATGTCTAGATCTTTCTGTTACACCCTGCCCGGCCCTGCCTTGGCTTTCTCGAACTTGCCTCGCGGCACGTCCTGAAAGAGCCGCGTGCGGCCTTGTGCGTCCTGGAGTTCGGGGTCACAGCCCAACTCGATGGCTGCGCGCACCGCTGGGCCTGAGCATCGAATGGCTGCGAAGAACGGGTCGAGACTCCAAAAAGGTGGACCTGACCAAAAACCATTCCCATTCCCACCACATGCAAGGCTCAACCTGCCACTTGTGCTTCTGCCTAGGATCCCGCGTGGGGTCGTCAAGATGGTCTCTTTCAAAAGCTACTGCAAGTTGCATACCTATTGCCTGTTACTCGCGTATAGCTGAGCATGTCCGACTGCACGGGTCGGTTTGACCCGCGAGAGTCCCAACTCTTGCCTCGCCTGTCGCCGAGTGCAGCACATCGCGGCCATGGGTGCTCAACGCATCGACTCTGGCGCCCTTCTGACTCAAGTGCTTCCTTGGGCAAAGTGCAACACAAAGCCAGGGAAATCCACTTGCTATGCTGAACTATGTTTCATACGCTGAGATTTCCACGATACATTTGGGCAACGGCAAAGCACTGCTCAAAAATGCATCTTCCCTTCAAGGCCAGGATTCATCATGGCAGCTCTGCCACTTACAGCAGCCCAAAAAATGGGAGTAAAACCTCGCGTTCAAGACAATTGTCAAACACAGCTGGCGGCCCATTTAAGCAGGCTGTCTGCAGTTCTTTGTCAAACAAATCCTCTGCATGGAAGACATCTAAAATAAAAATGAGACTATGTATATATATATATAGCTGACACCCTCAGTTTCCTGACAAAAATGGCTCACCTTCCGCCAGCTAGTGCGGAAACCTATCTCCCAAAAGGTTGAAGGTTATCCACTGACTCCAATAGACACGAAAGCCGAATAGACGTGATATGGAGATCAGTCCGGACACAGGTCGAAGACCGAAAGCCGAATCAAAAAGATATCGTTTAAGGTAGCTATATACTTCTTGCAAAACACGAGAAAGCAAATACCAAATCCCGAGAATTACAAAACAAACCCCCAAGAAATCCCCAACAGCTGGGCATCAATTTGCTGATGAAGTGGTCTGTGTTTGTTAGACACTGCTGCTTTCAAGAGTGTGAGCCTTTGCAATGCGCCATGCGCAAATTAACACAGCGAAACAGTACTTCTTATGTGCCCGATATGTGCAAGCATGACAACACAGAACCAAGCAAAACCGAGGGAACCTCCTCTGGAACCCGCGGGGGTCCGCCAATTTCGCTGGACGGCATATGTCAGCACGACAGCAGGCCAGCACCAGACCTGTGTCCGAGGCCTGAAGACCCCTATAAGCTTCGCTGTTGGAGGCGCTTGAAGGCCAACTCCCAGACTTCGGGCTCCACCCGGACTCCGGAGACCGAGGGGACGCCCCAATCCCGTTTCAGGAAGGCCGGATTTCCGGCTCGGCTGGCGGCGTGGCGGGGGGGAAGCTGCAAAGAAAGGAAGATGTGAAGATGTGGTGGGTGCAGTAACCTTTGGGACACATCAACCTGACAGTCTACAGGTCCAGAAAAGCCGTCCAACCGGATGCCTGGCATCCTGGCATCAGAACAAGCTCGGGGAAAGACCGCACGGGGTCGGCGAAAGACCACATTCACGAAAAGGAAGATCTTTAAACAAGAAGAAGAATGGAGGCTATTGCTAGTAGGTTGGAGGCCGTTGGAGGCCATTGCTAAGATCCTTAAAGGCCTCCAACCTAGTAGCGATGGCCTCCAACCTACTAGCGATGGCCTCCAACCTACTAGAGATGGCCTCTAACCTAGTAGTGATGGCGCCTCCTAGTAGGTTGGAGGCCATCGCTACTAGGTTGGAGGCCTTTAAGGATCTTTAAAAATCTTTAGAGAATGGGCCTCTCCCACGGGTTCCATGAATCCCGAGGGCGCCGAATCTCGCAACTGGAATTGCGAAGGCCGAATCCCGAACGAATTCCCAATCCAATTCTGACGGAACCACCATTAAAAAGGATAGACAAGTGAATGCTTGAATACTTTCAAATCGTTTTGATATGCTTGATCTGTTTCAGGACTTCTATACACTCAACAACAGAGTTCCATTGCAAGTAAGACTGAAATTCCATTGCAAGTGCCTTGATCATCTTTCTGCTCGAGGTTAGCCCCCTTCTCCACCAAGAAGTCGACGGTGGCGAACTCAGCGGTTTCACGGAATGGTCAGCTCGGTTTCGTCAAGCCCCACGCTTCGCCAGGCTTCGCCGCCTGTGAAACCTGCAGGTACACCTGAAACCACATGGGGGACGCCTCCAGTCCGACTTCCAATCTCCCGGGAGTCAGCTGTGGAGGCGTCCAACTGTCCAATGGATTTACTTGCGCCATGTGCAAAGCGCTGACCACATGACTCGTGGGGACGTCATGTCAGCGGCGCGGCGCCGTGAATTCATACAAGGATGTGGTGATGTAGTGACTACGGTGCTCTGTCAAGCGGCGTGTAGACGCGATGCGGCGATATGCGTGATGCCGAGATGAGAGATTTCATCGAGTTCCGCTCCCCACCGTGAAAATGGCCATGTCGCTACTGTTTGCCAGATGTTGCCAGCAGCCCAGCAGTATATCATTAAGCTACAGACTGTAGTTCTCTAAGCACCTATTGAATTTACAACAAATCCCAAACATGTCTGCCAAACGAAACAATTGCATATAATTTATACATATATATGTTGTTTGATCAGTTTGGCGGAAACCATCTCAAACGCTCGAAATCGGTGTCAAGGTGCATGATCATGCCTTGCGGCATAGAAGAGTGGTGTCTGGCGGTGTGGATCAGCCGTGTCAACGCTGGAACCGTGCTTGAGCAGGAACCCACACCTGGATTGGGCCGAGCAGGGCGACATTCCATCGTGAAACTGCTTACAACAAGTGTACCAGGCTTGGCCGGGAGACAATTCGGTGTTCCCGACTCTGGCCGCAGCAAAAACCGGGGTCTGGTAGTAGGTGTCTTCACGGAGAGCATCTACACGGTGCTCCTCCACCAAGGACTGGGCAATCTGCCAGCGGGGAAGGCATTTTTGACATCTGATTCAAAATCAGCAGTAGCATCCAGCTTAGTAGCCAAGTAGTCAAGAGACGAAGCATCCACAATCAATGAACCATACTGTCAGTGACAACAGCAAAGCGGATGAAAACCCCTACACGTGCGAGCACATCGTCGTGCCTGAAGTCCCTGCTTGTGGTCAGAATGGTAAGCGGCCTTGTGGATGAGGGTCCCGGCACTGACTGGTGGGACCTCCAGCTATCGCTGCGCAAAGAATCACCACAATCCCCACATGAGAACAACTTGAAGGAACAAACCGCCTTCCTTGACCCTGTGGTGAATGGAAAAAATGTCAGTGTGCGCTTTACTCTCACTGTAGTTTTCGGTAAATTGTCAGCATGGTTTGCCATTGATTGAACCAATTGCACAAGATCAACGTCACAACTTGAAAGATTTGCCTTGTTTCGATTGTGTGAAATTGTGCTAGGTTTTTTTTAATTTGCCAAAGATGTGACAAACACTTCTTCGACATGATCAACTCCTTGCTCCACCGCTTTAAGCATCAAGGCCTGATGCGGGTCGGCGGCATGCTTGCGAATGAGGTCGTCGACCACCTTCAGGGGGGGGCGTCGACAACAGTTTCGACACGCCGCTTTTGAGATCGTCCATCGTGCAATTTTCTTCAAAACAACTGATATTGTTCTGCACAAAAGGCATTTCGTTTGTGGTTGGTGCACCAGCCCAGCCCCTCCTTGGTACTCTTTGTTCCTAGTCCTAGCTATGTATTTCCCCAGAACGGTCGTCGCTCCTCCACCGTATTGTTTTTCACAGCGTCCAGCAACAAGCCGTTCACGAGGACTTGCGCCGTCGCCATTGTACACACAAGCGTGCGACACTTTGGTCAGCTCTCTTTTGTTCTAAGCCAAAACCGACGAGGAAGTACGTATATTGACTCTTGACGCCGCAGTTCCTACAAGGCACCTCTCTGTTGCCTTTCCACGCAGCTAAAAAAACAGCCACCAAAGCTCACGCCCAAACAAATGCACGAATTGCGTGCCCAGGAAGGCTGCCACACAACCCGTTGGAGAGACCGCTCTGAGACAGAGAGGCTAAGCAGAACATAGCAGAACTTTTGTTGGGCTTTGGTGAAGCATAAGTCATGCACCAAATGTGCATCCGGCCTCCTGGTGGCCTCCTCCCAAAACAATCTCTCAAGCCGCTTCAAGCCGCCAAGAAAGTCGGGCAGCGGACTTTTGTAAACGATTGGCACAAAAGGGTCGAGGTGCCAAAATCACAGGTGGCCCCCCCCCCCATCAACCCCTTGAAGCTGCTCAGATTGTTACAAGCACAAAAACCCAACAATCTCTCAAACCGCTTCAGGCCAAGAAAGTCGGAGCAGCTTCCTTTTGTAAACGATTGGCAGCACAAAGCCCGGCCGTTCTGCGCACTCAAAAACAACACGTTGATGCAAAAGATGTCAGAATAATAAGGCCATCAAATACTGCTGGCTCATACAGACATGGGATTTGCATGAGACCTTCTGCAAGAAAGTGTGGGGCATACCTTTGGTGTGATGATGCCTGAGAACGATGAAGGCGCCGCATCAGCCACAGTGGATCCACTATCCCCATCACATATGAAACAGTCTCCAAGCACCAAAAGGGCCGCCTCTTCGGCGCTGGGCCCCCAGCTCTAGGCCACAAGCGCCTCAGCAGCTTCGCCGCCTCACCGGAGCCAAAACCCGGCGCTCGGCTTCGGCTCCGTCGGTCCGTCACCGGCACGTCGCCAGCGGCGCCTGGTCCAAGGCAAAGGGATGCGCGAAGGCCTTGACCGAAGCCGCAGAGGAGATGCCGGAGCCGTGGAATAGGGCCAGGAGCTGTTCTGAAAAAAGAATCGCGGAGAGGGTCTCAGACGCGTCCGGGATTGGCTTGTTTGGGGACATCTACCTACAGGAAACCATAGTTTCTACCCCCACCTGGAAAGGTTTTCTTAAAACAAATTTGGGGATATACAATACCATTGGTTTTCACTATTTTGTAGCCATTACGAAGCGCTAATCCGCATGCAAAATTACAGTACTCTGTCAGGCAGAAACATCCTTGTGGGACATAGATGACGACAAGGCTTCAAATTCGAACAGAAACTTCTGCTGCTCCATGAGGGTCGAGTGCTTGAGACACACTTAGACAATGGGTTTGCAGTTAACTCTGTTCCACGTCGAAAGGAGTGAGAGAACGGAATGGTGGCAAGCCCGCGCACTTGTAGGTGTTTTAACAAAATGGTTTCAATCGCGCAACTGCAGCTGCAAAACTAAAGTCGGTTGAAAGCGGCTGAGGGAAACCTGTTTGGGGGGAAGTAGCATGCAAAACCGCCATGGAACCAAAAAGATGCAATTGGACAGCGCGGTCAAAAGTTCAACGTGCAGGTACACATCAAGGCGTCCCTTGATGCATCCCCTGTCACATCCCAGCTTCGTTGGGCCAGGTAGGACGTGACAGGCCTGACCCCCCTGCACTTAACAAAAAACTCTTCGGGACAGAGTGTGACACACACAGAGCGCCGATATCGGCGCTCGAGAGAAATACTAACCACCTAAAAAGCCTTAGAAAGAAAGGAAAAGAAAAGACAGAAAGAGAAACGCAAAGGGCAAGAGGGAAAGATAGGTGTAGTTACGAGGCCCACTAGTTACGAAACCTTCTAGTTACTGACTACCTAGCACTCTAGTTACTGAAGACCTTGCCCTTGACTTGAGGGAACGGCAAGAAATGCTGGGTCCGATCAACAGAAGGTTTCAACAAAATTAGGTTCTGACCACTTAGCAGTTCTTAATTAGGTGCACTAGTTAGCGAGCGGGACATTAGTCTTAAACCGCCCGGGTAGATAGGACTAGGACAGGAGAAACAGAAGGAAAGGCACCGACACACAAGTGTGTCGAGTACCATTTCCTTCTGTTACCCAAGATAGCGGGTGGGATAAAAGTGCGAATTCGCGTGCAAGGTGGGGTGTGTGTGTGTGGCACATATATATGACCGTAAACCCGGCGGTTGTTGAATCTCCGTAAACTCGGCAGTGTTGTGGCAGGAAATTCATTGGGTGAAACAAAAATCATCAAACCATAATCCACGATGGCGGCACTTCGAATCAGAAAAACGGTAGTCCGGAGTGGCTTCAGCGCCTCTCTTGCGAGAGGATCACACTCTGCACCCAGTGGGACGACAGAGCGGCACACACTTGGACAATGGGTTTGCAGTTAGCTCTGTTTCACGTCGAAAGGAATGAGAGAACGGAATGGTGGCAAGTCCGCGCACTTGTAGGTGTTTTAACAAAATGGTTTCGATCACGCAACTGCAGCTGCAAAACTAAAGTCTGTTGAAAGCGGCTGAGGGAAACCTGTTTGGGGGGAAGTAGCATAGCATGCAAAACCGCCATGGAACCAAAAAGATGCAATTGGACAGCGTGGTCAAAAATTCAACGTGCAGGTACACATCAAGGCGTCCCTTGACGCATCCCCTGTCACATCCCAGCTTCGTTGGACCAGGTAGGATGTGACAGGCCTGGCCCCCCTGCACTTAACAAAAGACTCTTCGGGACAGAGTGTGCCACACTTAGACAATGGGTTTGCAGTTAACTCTGTTCCACGTCGAAAAGGTGAGGGAACGGAATGGCGCAAAATTTTCTCAACCGAAATGTTCAAATACAAAGTTGACGCGTGACTGCAGCAACGTGACAGCGACAAGCGGCTGAAGGAAAACCCTTTGGTTTAAGGGGAGGTATCATGAGAACGACCATGGAAGCAAACCAAGGAAGTGGACAGCGTGATCAACAATTGCTTTGCAGGTACAAGTCTGTGCGTCCACAGACTCATCCACCCATCTCTCTAGTTTCGTTGGCTAGCGTCGAGAAATGGGCCGCTAGCCCCCTGCACATACTCTTTGGGACAGAGTGTGATACACACACAGCGCCGATATCGGCGCTCGGGAGGAAATTATTAACCATCTAAAAAGCCTTAGCAAAAAAGAAGAAGAAAAGACAGCAAGGGAAACGCAAGGACAAGAGAGAAAAATAGGTGTAGTTACGAGGCCCACTAGTTACGAAACCTGCTAGTTACTGAATACTTAGCTGCATGAATTAAATGCACTAGTTAGCGAGCGGGACATTAGTCTTAAACCGCTCGGGTAGCTAGAACTAGGACAGGAGAAACAGAAGGAAAGGCACCGACACACAAGTGTGTCGAGTACCATTTCCTTCTGTTACCCTAGATAGCGGGTGGGATAAAAGTGGGAATTAGGGTGCAAGGTGGAGGGGGTTGTGTGTGGGTGCGTGTGACACAAATATGTATGACCGTAAACCCGGCGGTCGTCGAATCTCCGTGGACCCGGCGGTGTGGAGTCTCCGTGGCTCGGCAGCATGTGAATCTGGAAATTCATGGGTGAGACGTGTGATTCCAGAATCATAATCCAAAGCGCGGAGAAAACGTAAATTCAGTTACACGGCAATCCGGAATGGTCTCAGCGCCCCAGTGACGGGGATCACACTCTGCGCCCAGGAATGGCGCAAAATCAGCTCAACCGATGACGAGTGACTGCAGCAACGCGACAGCGACAAGCGGCTGAAGGAAAACCCTTTGGTTTAAGGGGAGGTATCATGAGAACGACCATGGAAGCAAACTAAGGAAGTGGACAGCGTGATCAATGGTTGCTTTGCAGGCACAAGTCTGTGCGTCCACAGACTCAACCACCCATCTCTCTAGCTTCGTTGGCTAGCGTCGAGAAACGGGCCGCTAGCCCCCTGCACATACTCTTTGGGACAGAGTGTGACACACACACACTCACTCACTCACTCACTCACTCACTCACACACACTCGAGACAGGGCGTACTGAACTGAACGCCGCTCCACTAGGTACCCAAATTCCTGAGAAGGCATGTAAAGGGGCGTGAGCAGCCTGGAGGTCCAACCAAAAGAAAAGGGAGGCCCAAAGTTCCACGTTCCAAGTCGAGAATCGGGACCGAAAGGATGACGACGTCAAGCGCTCACATCTGCCAACCTGAGGATAACCTAAACAGCCTGATCAACTAGAGGAGAAAGTGGTTACTCAACATCACAACCAGATCAAAGTGCAGGTACAAGAGTTGGCATCCCAACTCTCCGTAGCTTCGTTGGCACGGATAGGAAATCAGTTTCCGTGCCCCCTGCTAAATAAGGAAACATCTTCGAAGGAAGCCCTAAGATTCCAAGGGTTTCACACACACGCCTCCCGATTGGGGAGGCAAAAAGAACGAAGGCTACGACTAACGTGCGTGCGTGCGCGCAAACAAGACAAACAAATGACGACATGAAAGGAGGACAAGACAGACCAGGTGTATGTGGCCGCGATGAAAGGGAACCAAGTGACCAGGAACAACCAAATGAGCCAGACCTCATTACAACAACCTGGGCGACCTCAAACCTGGGTTTAGTGTACGAGCGCGCGTGCGCGGTAAGGGCCGGACCAATGTGCGCGCAAAGAGAGAAAGGATGAGATGCCAAGACATGAAGGCAGAAAGACATGAAAATGAAAGAGGAGAAGAAAGTGCGTAAAAGGATGAAAGCGGAAACTAAATGGAGGGGCCGGAAGCCAACAACACCAAACCTCATTGAAGAACCTAGGAAGACCTGCCTCGTTACAACTGTGCTGTGCGTGCTGTGTGTGTGTGTGCATCTAAGGCACCAGCATGCCCCAATGGACCTTGAGCATGCTTCGATCGCTGCGGCCACGTTAAGGCCCGCCCAAAGGCTGCCTACTCCTGACCGCTGCGGTCACCTCGCGGCGTGCCCGTAGGCTGCCTACTTGTATTCAATACTTCTTGTGGGACACTCTTGTATGACACTCACTCTTGCGGAACACTCTTGTAGGACATTCTTGCGTAACACTCTTGTAGGACACTCTTGTGGGACACTCTTGTGCGCCGCTCTTGTATGTCACTCTTGTGGGACACTCTCGTAGGACACTCTTGCGGGACACTCTTGCGGAACTCTCTTGTAGGACACTCTTGTGGGATACACTTGTAGGACACTCTTGTTGGACACTCTTGTGGGACACTCTTGTAGGACACTCTTGTGGGACATCCTTGCAGGACACTCTTGCGGGACACTCTTGTGGGACACTCTTGTTTGTCACTCTTGTGGGACACTCTTGTGCGACACGCTTGTGAAACAGTCTTGTGGGACACTCTTGCCGGGCACTCTTGTATGTCACTCTTGTGGGACACTCTCGTAGGACACTCTTGTCGGACACTCTTGTGGGACACTCTTGTACGCCACTCACTCTTGCGGGGCACTCTTGCGGAACACTCTTGTAGGAGACTGTTGTGAAACACTCTTGTATAGGAGACTCTTGTGGGACACTCTTGTATGTCACTCTTGCGGGACACTCTCGAAGGGCGCTCTGGTCGGACACTGTGGTACTTCAAGTCTGCAAAGCGAGCGTTTCGTTCGAGACTTCCTCCAAAAGTCACATGTCAAGTCTCCAAAACGAGCATTTCGCACGAGACTTCTTTCAACATTCACTCGTCAAGTCTCCAAAACGAGCACTTCGCACGAGACTTCTTACAAAATTCACTCGTCAAGTCTCCAAAACGAGCGTTTCGCGCGAGACTTCCTCAAAAACTCACACTTGAAGTCTGCAAAACAGGGACGTTTGCCTCCACCACAACTCGCAACCTCACGACTCCCTGCGCCTGCCACGAAAACTTACGCGTCCACACGTCTGACATGCACAAAGTACTGCGCCTGCCACAAAATTTGACCTCCGCCACACCTCGCAACCTCCTGCCCCTGCCTCGATTATCGTACTTCCACACCTCAAGACCCGCACAAAGTACTGCGCCTGCTACGAAAAAGTGACCATATCATATCATGTGAGCTTCAACAAAATTTGCACCACACCACACGCTTGGAATGATTTCGACACGTTCTGACCACAGTCGCCATTTCGGCTGAGACTTCTCACGAAAACACAGCTTCGATGCAACACCCTGAAACGCAAATCCCCATGTGACAGCCACATCCAACACCCCAAAGAAACGAAAAAACACCACTCTCCAAACGCCAATCCCAATGTGACTGCGCAGAAAACTGCCGATCTCACAAAACGCTGCACCTGCGCAGTGAAATCATCAAGAAAGGTGGTCTGAACATCTTCGAATCCTCAAAGGCCTCCAAGTCCATCGTCGAGAGCCCCAACGAAAGCGACAAATGCGTGCATGACTGCAGAGCTCAAAAACTGATGCAATGGCCATGGCCAGCGACTTGTTCTAGTGACAAAGGGGCCCAGGAGGAAGTAAGTAGTAATCACTGCAGGTACGTCTGGCTGATCAGGCCAGATATCAGCATGGAGCTTGACCCTCTTCGTTGGATCACCAGTCAAGTCCGTGGGTGATCCCCCTGCAAGAAAAACCTAAAGGTTCCTTGTGATTCCAAGGGTCTCACGCACACACACACACACACTTTGTCTGTCTACGTGCTCTGTTGCCATGGGATGCGGTCGATTGTGTATGATGTGTATGGGATTGTGCAAAAATCGTGGGCTTTCGATCCGCTGCTCATGGAAGGTACATGAGAACCTATTATTGGGCCTCCACGAATGCTTCCTTCTCGAACCCATTTCTGCCCCCTTCTCTTGAAACACCCGCGGCACTAGACACAGTCATTTCCACATCCAGCCCATTCCCACACGGTTACACGTCACCTGCAGTTCGATCACGCTTCGAAGGGTCGCAGCAGTCCTTGGTCGAATCAAGAATCGCCGCCGTTCGCTTCGCGCGCCGACGGCGCCGACGTCGCAGCGTTCGCTTTGGCGCTTGCGCCGAGACTCGTAAGCCACGACTCGTCACATGTGACAGTACTCGACTCGACGACCCTTGAGATGGGGACCCCTGACTTGTGCGACCGGTATCTCTTAGCCATCGCGAAACTGCAAGCTACCGAAGACTCGCGTAGAGCTTCGCCAAGTCGCTGGAAACCAACACTTCATGGTCGCCACAGTTCATGTCCCTACCTTTCAGCAGTTCTCAAAGAGAACTGAACATGCAAGTCGCAAGTTCACAAAAAAAAATGCTCGCCACAACACAGGCGCCCACCCACTCATTGTTCACCTCCGCTTCCTTCAGTCCTTCAACTCCCCCGACGCGCTGCCACGCGCAACGCGCTGCCCCGCTCTGGGCACTCCGCGCTGCCGCAGCGGCAGGCGCCGTGCCTGGAGGATCGGCCGCACCGCCAGCGAGACCTGAAGGTCGGCACCGAGACGCTGGAGCCTTTGGGTGAAGCCAATGGTGAAATAGATTCACCTATAGGCAGATTCACGTGGTGGGTGACAGGATGTTTGTTCCGGGGCCGTTTTTGTTCCTGTCCTTCGACATAAAACTATCTGATAATGTAAAGATAATATAGATAACCTGCGTGGAAGATACTGAATTGTCTTGATCCTGAATGCATGTTCATCCATCTCCAAATGTCAATGTCTCCATTCTCATCCATTCTCATCCATTCTCCACCTTCCAGTCTCCCTTGATCCCTCTGGGGACCAAACCAAGAACTCGTGCGCCTGCCGAAGAACCGTGGCCGTGCCGTGATCACCGGTTCCGAACCCGAAGAACAGAAGTCCAAGCCCTTTGGATCTGAAGAAACGTCAAGAAAGATCGCCAGAGGTCCTTAATGACTATTGGAAGAATATTGGAGATGTTTGTGGGGGAGGCAGTTGAAAGTTCCGTTCGCGCATCTCAAAAACGGATCCAATTGAAAGAGTTTAGTAGGATTGCCACTCACCCGATCACAATGCTTGGGGGTCTTCCGAACCACTGGCTGGACTGGCTGAGATTCCCGGACGGGCGTCCAGCTGTCGCCTTTCGGCAGCGCATGCCTGACCAAAGGGCCGGACCCTTTGGTTAAGGAGTTAAGGAGGTGAAATCTGTCAGTCCATCCAGGAAGAGGACAGAACCCATGTCCAGCTAAGCTATGTTTGCTTGAAAACGAACACAGAGATCATGCAGCGCATCTCTTTCACTCATCTTGACAGCGCAAAAAGATGAGTGAAGCTAAGCTGAAGCCCATGGTCGTCCTGATTTGCTCATCCCTAAAAGACCCTGGTCGTACTCTTGGACCATAGGGACCGCCACGCTACAGCAACGTGTCATGAAAACGTGACATGAAAACTACAGCAACGTGTCGCTGGCGCAAAAGTGTTGGGCCTTTAGGCCGCTTCGCGACGTCTTCAACTCCACGTCTGGTGCGGACGAATCGGTCAAAACCGACCGTCTAAACCGATGTCCCACAGCGTCGGACCGTTTGACACACCAACTCCACCGCCGTTCACAATCGTTGTTCGCCTCAAGACCTCATTCGCATCGCTCACGCCTCGGGGAAGCAGCGGGGCGAAGGTCAAGGTCGACCACCCGGGCCACTCAAAGGGGTTGTGGTGTTTCGAGTTGCCCGAGTTGCCCAAAACAGAAAAAGAGCGACTGTCCAAGTGTTGGGTGTGATGAAGCCCAAGTGGGCTTGAACTGAACACCAATTCGCAAACTTTGCAAAGATGAAATTTGAGAGTCTCAAGCATGACATGTCCGTCTTCATCGGTCGGAGACCAGAGATTTGGACGAGAACCTCCAAGCTCCCGAGCTCAAGGTGCCAGGCCTCGACCGACTCACCCGGACGGTCCCGAATCGCCCTCAAACCCCGCCCGCACGGGCGCCTCAAATGACCCAGGGTTTCTTCATCCTTCAAATTATGGTTAAGAGAATTGAAATTCGATCGACCGCATTCTGCAGATCCAATATCTTTGGTGTACCTCCCCTCTGAACATCATCTAATTGTTGGGAGACTAGGCACCAGTGGCAGCGGCTACAAGCTGCGCACTACGTTCCAAAATGCCACATGTCTATATACTGTTGACAAGCTCTGATTGGGGAAGCTGCTGTGGAACCGCACGCGGTCTGCGACTGTTTTCTTGAAGCCCAAACAAAAGGAGCCTCTTCCAGGACTCAAGCACAAAGCCACGGACGCTTTTTAAACCTCTTGGCACCCTACCTCACCAGGCTCCAAGATCGAGGTGAGAGGATGAGAGAAGCTATCAGGCGTACAAAGCCCCAGGAGGCAAATCAGAAGAGCTTGGATCCAGTTTTGTTCTGACGTGAAAAACAGCCATCCATGGGCCTTGCGTTTGGAATGGAAGCTTTCCACATACGTTTGGAAGCTCGGCTGCGTCGATGCACCGCCCACGTCGATGCTCGTCACGTCGATGCTCGTCACGTTGTTCAGATCGGTGCTGGACACCGCAGCGGCTTTACGGAGCGAACGCACGGCCTCACGGCCTCACGGCCCCACCGCGGAAAGACCCAAAAACAGGCAGCTGTAGATGGCTGTAGATCCCAGATACAGGGTGGGCCAGAAAATCCAGAAACGATTCAAATGAAAAAGAAACGTGTTTGATCCTCTTTTTCAGATTAGATATTCACTTCGTCATTGGAAGAAGGAGTCTATCTACCCTATATAAGTTCCATCATCCATATCGAGTTGGATTCACAAACAAACACCACACAGCAGCAAACATCAAACGCAAAACCAAGAGCTTTGCCAGCCTTCACCAGAACAAGAAGGAGAAGATCTGCTTGTTCAAACCGCTGCTGGAACACGCCATGATGCCATGTGGACTATGTGCACTCTGCTTTTCCCTGCTGCTTTCTGGCAACATACCTCAGGTGGGCGGCGGGCGGGTGAAAAAGAAGTTGACTTGCAAATTTCTCAGATTTTGTGGACTCTTCATTCACTCAAACTCAAATCGCCGGCGTTTGCCTTTAAAACACACACTCGGTCTGCATCTTCTTCTCCACTGTGGGACAGATTCGTCCGTCGCCACGTGACATCCCGTGACCCACGTAGGTTCTGCTGGGCTTCCCCAAAATGCCGAACACGATGGTTGTCAAAAAATAGAGTCAATGTCAATCTGATGCCATCTGCTTGTGATTCCCTATAAATAAGTATAATTATAGATGAAACCACGCGGCGTTATCTCCCGTGATTCCTGTGGCAGGCGGCATGTAGAGGTGCTTCGGGGGACCATCGCGACGTCCCTCGTAGTTCCTGACTTGGTTGGTTTGGAAACAGTTCTTTGGTCGACGAGAAACAGGAGACACTGAGAGTGTTTGCACCTTCCATGATGAGTTCAGGGAGTGTACATCCGTAACAGTTGGATGGAAAGGCAGCATCGTGCTGTGCATTCAAGTCCAAAAAAAGAACAGTTGTGTCGGTCGTGCGCCGGACTTGATGGACCTGGAAAACATGCTTACCTGCACAAGTTGCCCAAGGGCTAGACTTCTTGGTCCCCATTAGAGCAAAAGTTCCTGAATAACAAGCTGTTGTGCTAGCAAGCACATCGTCAGGGACTTCCCAAAATTCAGGCTGAGTGGGGGTCCACCTTAGTCTCGTCGTCTCACCACAAAGCAACCAAACGACTCTGCCAACAAACTGTGGAGGTGCCAAGCCTGTAGCGTCACCCAGGGGCCTTTCATCCTCATCAAGACGGCCCCTGGAGTCACCCTGTTTCGGGACCTTGGGGGGCGTTCCGCGGAGATGCTGGGTGCCTTTCGACACCTCGCCCTCTGGCGCCCGAAACACTCATAAAAGTCACTGCCACTGACCACTGACCACTGGTTTCAGTGAACCCCAATGGTCAGAACCCCCTTTGGAATACTCGGTGAGCCACCGGAGTTCTCCGCCGTTCTCCGCGGAGAGCGGCGCGCTTTTTCGGACCCGGCGGCTCATTCTCGCACACCAAGACCTCCACTTCCCAACGTTCACCATGCGCGGTGGACTCCTCGGCGGGTCGGCGTGGCGTTGGTGTTTCGGACGCACCATAAAACTCAGACCGTGGAGGACATGGGAGGAGATGGAAACCGTAACCAAAACAGCATCAAGGTTTCCAGTGGACTCTGCCGTCCGAATCGCGGTCCAGTTCTTCGTGTGGAGGACGTGTCCTGGACAGTGACGACCCCACACGCCACACTCGCCGAACCGGCAGCACTCGCCGAACTGGCAGCTTTTCGAAGAGCCTCTGAGCGCCATGTCATCAAGCGTTCACATGTATCCACATGTATCCTCAATATAAGCTCCATAGGATTCCATTTTTGTCCACTTGAATCATGAATCTGGAAAGATCTGGAAGGGAAGATGGTTTTCTCTGACTCTGGTGTAGGTTTCTTTGACTTTGTGGACTCCCGAATATGGATTCCATCCATTTCATTCCATTCACACCTGGGGCCGAAGAGGGGCCGAACCGGCGCCAGGAACGGAACGGCCGAGGTGGACCCCGGGGCGTCCGACCTCCGAACCGGTTCGATCCAATCCGTCAAGACCAGCGAATCCGGATGGACACCGATGGACACGTGCAGCTCCAGTATCTTCAATCGATGATGGGTTCGAGTCCCGCATGCGTTCGTCTTGCGCAAGATGAACCGCAAGATGAACAGATTCTGAGTTGCTGGTGATGAACACTTAGAGACTTAGAGATGCCAAAGCTTTGGGCAGCCACTTCTGTCACTTCTCAGCCATGCCTGTTTGGAGATTCACATGGCTCTGTTCCAGAGGAGCCCCTCTTCACTTCACTGGAATTCCAGGCGAGTCTGTTTTCGGTTGTTTCCGCGAAAGCCTCACCCGCGTCGTCTTCAGGAAGGACCCAAGCGTCAATGGCGGACTGAGCATCTTCAGGTGGATTCAGACTCACACAAAGATAGACCTGAGTGGCCAGAAACACCATGACAAACCGTCCCACCATGACAAACCGTCCCACCGTGGCATACGAGGCCCCCGAACGAATGAGGCGTCTTACCGTCCCAGAGTCCGTCGCCGCCATCCGATCCGTTCGGCCATCGCCCTGCCAGCCGTGCGAACCAGGTCACGAGGCCGTCGGACCGACCGAAGACGTCGGACGAAGACGTCGGTGCCGCCCTGCGACGCCATCGTCTTGCAGAATGCGGTGCACCTCTGATGACATGCCTGGGGCGAGTGGAACGGAAGACTGGTTTGGCGAGCGACTGGTTTGGAGAGCGCCTGCCCAAGAAATCACGAAAAATCACACCCACCCATCCACAACGAAAACTGCCCAACCAACCAACCAACCAATCGCCCCGTGGCGTCAGATCCTTCCAAACCACACATCTCTCCACTTCAAGGGGCGCCCGGTGGCTTCGGGCCCACGGCACTTCAGGGCGTCCAGCGTGCTTTTGTCGAAGACCACGTCGAAGTCCTTCGCCTCCAAGGTCGACGTCAAGTCGCAGGCGTCCTCGGGGAACCGGGGCGCGCCGGCGCAACGAATGAACGTCATGCCAGGAGAGGTTAAGTGACCTTATAGGACCATTCTGGGGTACCTATGGGATCGTCTATAAGGTTCTTCAACCTCTGTTGGTGTTTGAGTTGGTTCATTCCTCTGACCGTGTTTTACGGGGTTGTTTCGTGGGAGCGGGTCATGTCTGGCCAAGGTTCGGCTAGGACGTACTTCATGTTGGGCCGCTGGGTCGCATTCTTTTGCCTGGATTGAAAGAGTCTTGTTGGACACTCAAGCAGACTGAAGCAGTCCCCACCCATCTGATCGACCACAGAAAGATGCAGAATGAAGAACATATCGTTCTGCAGAGAAGAAAGAAAGGACCATGTCACAAAAAGAATCGTCTTTTTTTTTTGGGATGTCTCGAGGCTGTTCCATAACTCAGGATGCTGAAGAACATGGTACATTTGGAAGTTGAAGTTGAAGATGCGTATGAGTACCAAACATTCAGTTCTCTCTCTCTCTTCTATATATATATATATATATATATATTATCAGGAAAATGCACGAGCCTTGTCGCACTCAAACTTTTCTTCGAACAAAAGGGCTGTCGGGTGTCTATGTCTCAACTCAACGGTCAATCGAAACACTTCACAAAGCAGGAGGGGATTCTGCTCTCCCCCCCGAACTCTGTCAGGGTCACTGAATCCCCCAACCACACACATATAGTGCACTCCTCGCACCATCAAAAGGAAAATTCCACATTTGGCAAAAAGGAACAACTCTGTGTTCAAGCTCAGGCCCTTTCTGACTCCGTCAGAGCACTAGGTCTTGGGCCCCTAAGGAAAAACAAAAGACTCACTTCGCTCCCAGCAGCATTCACCCTTCGAATCACGCTAAGGACAAAGCTCGCTCTCATCCATTGGCCTTCGACCACCGCTCTGAGTGAGCGCCATGATCACCACCGCACTCAATCAAGAATCGGGAGTTCCCGCTTCAGCATGAGCCAGTGCCAGCACCAACTGAACTCTCAAAAAATTCTGAGACCCGAAGCAAAATGCTACAGCCTGACCATCGCTGTTGCAGATAGTGCATCTGGTGACTGCCCTTTCGAGCATCCGTTCGGATCGCCTTTCTCCCATCTTCAAGCCATGCAAGGAAGAAAATGAGTTTGCGCATGCACGAGTGAGTGGTCGAGTGGTGGCGTCATGTGCCTTGCCTTGCAGCCTCTTCTTTGAGACGTTCACTTCGAGTTTTTGGAGCGTTTGAGACAGGAGGAGCTTCGAGCGTTCTCTTGGCTGCTAAATGATGGTGTCCTTCGCATTGTAGGCAACATGCCGGTGAATGGTGCGCCGCAAGAAGTGGTGGGGCAATT